GCGGTTCGTGGGTTCGAGCCCCGTGTCGGGCTCTGTGCTGACTGCCAGCTCAGAGCCTGGAGCCTGTTTCAGTCTGTGACTCCCTCTCTCTCTGACCCTCCCCTGCTCACGCTGTCTCTCTCTCTCTCCTAAAAATAAAAAAATAAAAAAATAAAAAAAAAACATTTAAAAAAACAAAAAAAAAAACAGTGAAGGTAGGAATTAGAAATAAGTGTATTCTTGGGGTGACTGGGTGGCTCAGTCAGCTAAGCATCTGACTTCAGCTCAGGTCATGATCTAATGGTTCATGAGTTCAAGCCCCGCACTGGGCTCTATGCTAACAGCTCAGAGCCTGGAGCCTGCTTCAGATTGTGTCTCCCTTCCTCTCTGCCCCTCCTCTGCTCATACTCTTCCTCTCTCCCCCCTCAAAAATAAACAAACATTAAAACAATTAAAAAAAAAAAAGAAGTAAATGTACTCTGGCCCCTGCGTGTTCTGAATTCAAGTATATTATAGTGGGGAGAGAGTGATAACAATTTTTATTAGTTCCATTTATTAGCACCGCTCTCCCCTTACTATCAAAGAATGTGCTGCATCTAAGGGGAGGTCCCCTCACAGTAAGGCAAAGGGGGCACTAGTAAATGATACTAAAGGTAGTGGAAACTTATTCTGGCCAAGTGTTAGGCTCTACGCAAAGCTCCAAGGCTTATCTTAGAATCTAAATTCAGGAGAGATGGCTGTCATAGGATGCATGCTAATGTGTTTATTTGACTTGAAAAATGAAGTCAGACTTCTCTGTCAGAAAGTCAGTCTGGTTTGGTTGATAGAATTGATAATGAAAACTCACCCAACCAATTAGGTTATACGGAGGGCATTTTCTAAAGTTAAGAAAGCCAAATATGTAGCTCTAAAGATTTGACAAAAATATAAGTACATGATACCATTTAGAACTTATGATCAAAGGAAATATAAATTTTTAAAAACTTATACAAAAAATTTTTATGGTGGAATAGGCATGTGTGATAAATAAAAGATTCTCAAGTATATAGTAATTATAAAAAAATCACATTAGAGGTGTTAAATGGATGAGTTCAAGAAGAAAAAGGACTTATAAAATTTTCTACTGCTAAAGAGTATTAATTCATGTCTTTTTCAATGGATAATGGTGCATTAGATTATTTGAGATACATCCAAATATAGGGTATTTTAGTTTTTTAACTGTAACATGTCAAAAATTGTATTTTTTACAATTATTTAATCTTATGATATCAAGTTAAAAATGTGTGAAAGGATACATAGTTTCTCAAAATTCCTCTAGGACATATGTGAGCAAAAATGTCTTAAGAGCAGAGCTTCAGTGGATAGCCATGGTTGTTATTTGCAAAGACTGCCAATGTCTACAATTCTGTTTGTGAGAAGGAGGTAAAGCCTTAATTTCTAGAGTCACCTTAGTCCTTAAAGTTAACACAAAAGGGGCGCCTGAGTGGCTCAGTCAGTTAAGCGTCCGACTTCAGCTCAGGTTATGATCTCACAATTCGTGGGTTTGAACCCCGCATTGGGCTCTGTGCTTTACAGTGTGTAAACACTAAGCATATAAACATAAAGCAATTCCTTTTTCTTCTGTTTGCAACTAAACCATTTTATGTAACCATTCCAAAGATCCTTGGCTTTCCTGCTATTATCCACCCTTAGTATATTTAATCCAGCAGATACAAATCACAAAGAAGTTACTTCATTGCTGGAAAACTGGCTGTTTTTCAGACCCTGATTGTTGTGGATTTTCATCTGCCTATCACTGTGGTGAGTAGAAGAATCAGTAATAGAGTGGTTAAGAGTCAGACTTGCATTTGAAACCCAGCTTTATCATTTATTACTTAGGTTACTTGGAGCATGTTGCTTGATTCCCTTTGCCTCCATTTGTTTATTTCTGAGGCTGATAAAAGTACCTAACTCATAAAATGATTGGGAAGATTAAGTCAGAACATTTATACAAATTGCTTAAAACAGTGGTTGGTGCATAATAAATGCTATACAAGTGTTAGCTATTACTAGTGAAATCGCCTAAAATATTTGTGACACCAAGGTCATTCCTTCATACCTTTATCAAAGAATATTAATATTTACAGTGTTCCAAACAATGTGCTAGATGATAAGGATTCAAAGATGATGAGAATATAGTCCCTGCTTTCCAAAGTTTCATACCCTATTAGGGAAGATAAACATTGAAGCAACATGATAAAATTAACAAGTAAATGTTTGTGGCTGAATAAATTAACTAGAATTGTTTCAGTGAGGCTTGGACTAAGTACTATAGAACTGCAGAGGAAAAAGTGTTTAACTTTGGAGTTGCCAGAGAAGGGTTCTTATAGAATGTGACTTTTAACTGGATCTTGAAGGATAAAAGCAGGAAGCATAAAAGTAGGAGGATAGATAAGAAGGGAGGGAGCACTTGGAGTAAAAGAACAGTTGTGATAAAGGTCCATGTCTTTAACCATGCATTTAAGAGTCTCAATACTGTCTTCTGCAGAGAAGACTTAGAGACACCTGAATACAGACATTTCTATGATCTTCTACCACTTTGTATGCACCTCTAACTCATGACTGGGGTAAAACATACTCCGTTTTAATCCACATGCCCTGCCCCAGTGATTGCATGTGGTCTTACTCCTCCTTTACGTATAATTGCATATATTAATTTCCCATGAGCAGTTGCTGTATTTGATCTGAAAGGATTTTTAGGTAATAAAAGAAGCAATTTCACATTTTTATAAAATATTTTAAATTCTTTATAAGAAGGATAGGTAGTGTAACAAGTTAATGTACACTCATGATTCACTTCAATTTAATCTGGGTCTCTTATCAAACAACCCCAAGTCAAATAAATTTGTATATTATAATAAGTAACTCTAAAGAGCTTTTAAAATAATTTTCATTACCACTGTTTACCCCATGAACAGATACGACACATACCTGTGTCTGAAGGACGTAAAAAGTCCGTGTCACAGGTGAAAAAGGTCTGATGGTCCTGAGCTGACAAATTCATGTCATAGTATGTAAGTGGCTCTTTACCAGTCACCCAAGTGTATCTTTACCAAAACACAAGAAAATATGTAAGTTGAACATGAGACAGCCTCTACCTGCTACAACAGACACTATTTAAAATGCAAAAATATACTACTACAAATTCTATTTCAGAATGTTTTAAAAGCTTATTATAATCAGAAAAATAAGAGAACCTATACAAACTACTTCAAGTATGATAATAAATATCAAAAACCAAAATGGAAAAGGCTAGACTATTAGTGCTTCTAAATTAGATTTAGGCAAATAAAACAATTTGACTTAGATACATATCTTACTAAATATACTTAAATTCTCAGTGAATTAGAATTATTCAATGTAAAACTACAAAGAAACTAGAAGAAAACATAGGTGGATTTTTACTATATATCAAAATGGCAAAGGACTTGAAAAAATAAAATAAATAGAAACTTCTTCCAGATTTTACTAAATTAGAAACTCAAACTTTCCTATCCCCCTAAAACTCACAATAATTAATAGCAAGTTGAAAACCAAACTGGCTAATAAATAAAATTTTAATGGTCCAATCTCATCAGTAATTAACAAATAGTGAGTTAAATTAACAAATTTTTACTTTTCACCTATTAAATTGGAGAATACACATTGTCGAGGATGAGGTGAAACATGGACTCACACTTACACTGCTGGTATAAGTATAAATTGGCATATAACTTTCTCTTCCCAAAAATCAATTAGGTAATATCTATTAAGTCTTAAAAATATTCACATCTAGCTAGGGAATGGGTATATGAAATTCTACTATAGTATTCTCTACTGTTTTAATTTTTGAAAACCTCCATAATTAAAAGAAAATACTAAAGAAGAGTGGGGGAAAAATCTGTTCACACCCTTTGATTCAGGAATCCCAGTGCTACACCTCAACCCTAAGGAAATAATCATAAATTTTTAATTATCATAGGCTAAATATTTAAACATACAGATATGCTTCTAATGTAAATGTTGATAGTGAAATGTAATCTGTGACCCAGATAGGGGAGCAGTAGGTAAGGTATGCTACCTCCATGTAACAGAATAGAATACAACCATTAAAAAATCATATTTTTGAAGAAATTCCTGTATGAAGAGGTTCTGTGGGAAATTCACACATTGTGTTAGAAAAAAAAGAATGTAAAATTATATATACATTGTGATCTTCAAGTTTTGTCTCTATGTATGCATACAAAAGAGAGATTGAATGGAAATACTAACTGCATTTATCACTTAGTGGTAGGAAAAGGTGATTTTTACTTTCTTTTTTATGCATCTCTTCATTTTCCAATTTTCTACAGTGAACATGCATATATTTTAAAATCTAAAAAAAGTAGTTTAAAAGCACATCATAAGTGTTATGTGTAGATTATCAAAGATTTTAAGTAATTTAATAGTATAAGTTGCATTGCTATTTAAAATTTTTAGCTATTTTGTGAGATATTATCATAAAGGAAAAAGAAAAAGTAGATCCTTATTCACTTAGCAAAGTTATTTGTTTGTTTCTTCATTTTGGAGACAGTGCATGTGCCCAAGCAGGGAAATAGCAAAGGTTGAGAGAGAGAGAGACAGAGAGAGAGAATCTCAAGTAGGCTCTATGCCCAGCATGGAGTCCAATATGGAGCTCGATCTCACCACCATGAGATCATGATCTGAGCCAAAATCAAGAGTGAGACACTTTAATTGACTAAGTCACCCAGGTACCCCAGCAACTTATTCTAAAATCATAAAAAAATATTTATTAACGATCTACATTGTTCCCAAAATGATTGAAAGCAGTTAAAAATATAATGTATAATATTAACAACCCTAATTAGAAGCAAATAAAAAAAGACTTAGATTGGAACATACAGTGGAGCCTGGAATGAAGTTAACAGAAATGCATACCAGAGTTCTGTACATTTGTTAACGGTTGGCTACAACAGGACTTTAAGCTTTCGAAAACCACACGATTATCAAAGCAATTATGACTTTTAAATTAAGAGAAACTAATCATTCAAAAAGAAGCATAATGGGGTAGCCTGGTGGCTCCGTCAGTTAAGTGTCTAACTCTTGATTTTGGCTCAGGTCATGATCTTTCAGTTTGTAGGACTGAACCCTGTGCTGGGCTCTGCACTGTTGGCGCAGAGCCCGTTTGGGATTCTCTACCTGCCCCTCCTCTGCTCATGCTCTCTTTCTCTCAAAATAAATAAATAAACTTAAAAAAAAAAAAAAAAAAGCAATGGAAACGAACTTGACAAAAAACCTTTAAAAAAATTTTTTTTTAATTTAAAAACTGTATTTTTGGGGGAAAAAAAAAAGGCAGCAGGAGCATGGGGCACCTGGGTGGCTCAGCTGGTTGACCACCTGACTCGATTTCAGTTCAGGTCACAGCTCACGGTTTGTGGGTTCAAGTCCTATGTCAGGCTCTGCGTTGATAGTGTGGAGCCTGCTTGGGATTCTCTGTCCTCATCACTCTCTGCCCTTCCCCTGCTCATGTTCTCTCTCTCAAATAAATACATACATACATAAACAAACATTTTTTAAAATGAAACATAAGTGCTCCTGATACTAACATAAGAAATTTCTTGGGGTGCCTGCTGGCTCAGTTGGACAAGCATGCGAGTCTTGATCTCAGTGTCATGAGTTTGAGCCCCATGTTAGATGTCAAGCTTACTTACGTTAATAAAAAAAAATTTAGGGGTGCCTGGGCCACTTAGTCGGTTAAGTGTCCAACTCTCGATTTTGGCTCAAGTCATGATTTCATGGTTGGTGAGATCCAGCCTTGTGATGAGCTCTGTGCTGACACTGCAGAGCCTGTTTGGAATTCTTTCTCCCTCTCTGCCCCTTCTCTGCTCGCATTCTCTCTCAAAATAAATAAATAAACTTGAAAAAAATGTAAATACAATGAGGATGCTGCCAACTAAAAATTGGGCTCATCATTTTACCTTTTTATGTATTAGTGTCTCCAGGTAGAAGAGCTGTGAATATATTTATAAAAACAAATGTTTCCATAATACTTTTTACTCTAAAACTAATGCCATAATTATAGTAAAAGCAAAATGTAATACCTTCTATATTCTGCTCCTCTAAAAAGATTTAGAGGGTTCCTCCATACTTTGCATTCTAAAAAACAAAGGGCAAAAAAGGAAAGTTAAGCTAACCAAATGCAGTTAAATCTTACTTTCACCAATATGAATTGTATGGTCACTGTATGCTATGCACAGTGCTAGCCAGCTAGCACAAAGAAGACTAGGCCTGCATCACCTCTGCTGTCATGCAGCATACAATTCAAACTAGTCATTCCCCTACTTCTGTCTCTAGTATTTAGTTCATGATTCAGTTATAGCATTTACCATATTACAATGTGATTACCCGTTTGGTTTTCAGTTTTTCCTTTTAAAATATGAGCTCTTACAACTTTGTTCATTTTTGTATTCTTGGAGCCTAGCACAAAATTTGGAACTTGTTTAAACGATTTAAATGTCATGTGAGAATCCAGTCATGTAAACTATCATCTAAACTGTGTAATAAGTGCTGTAATAGAGATATATTTTGTTCCAAGAGAAGAAAAAAGAAAGTAATTAATTTTTCTAATAAATTAGAAAAGGCTTGAGAAAGGAGGTGACGTTTGAACTGACACTGAATCACAATAAAAGATGAGTAGAAGGTTGCCGGATGAAGAACATTCTAAGAGCAAGTATCATAAAACCACACGGGCTAGAGTGCAAGGTAGGGAGTGTCTTCACTCTCCATATGCAAAGATTTACTTAATCTTACAATGGGGAATAAGATTATATATTATTGTTATAATTATTTACATACAGGACTCAGCTTCTTGAGGACAGATCTATGTCATATTCATCTCAATATGTCTCATTCTTAGGAGTTCTGTAATTATTTTATGAAAGAGGAGAAAAGGGAAAAGAAAATTACCATTATTCCTTCCTGTACTCTTGAATGGCTGCCAATCCCATCCCTACTATTCCTGGTCAACACCCACTCATGCTTCAGGGCTCAGACTTTCTCAGAGACTTTCCCTGACGACATCTAAAAAGTGGCAGTATTTTCGTACTAAACTAACATAACTCTAGAGGTTAGGTTTACTGAACAAATGAGACATTATGGCACTCTATGGAATTAAGTCATTTGTATTATTACTGTATGTATTTTATTGATACCAAATTAAAGGAACAATAATCCAAAAAAAATTATTTCTATCTGGCCTTCAAATTTTTACTTTCCTACTTGCACATCATTAATAACATTTACTTTGCATTACTGGATCCATATAAAAGAACAGCCTACAATTAAAGTATGACAATGGGGTATCCACATATGAATAACTGAGATTTTAACATCTTCATAACTGTATCAAGAGGAAAAAGTGGTTTTTCTAACTTTGCTATGTTGGCAGAGATGGCTAATTGTCTCTGTTCTTTCCTTTATCTAATAAGATCTCCTAATTATTAGCTGAGCATATGTACACTGAGAAAATGATTACCAATTTCTCATTTGCCTTATATAGCTACTTGTGGCCATTTGGCAAAGGTCTGACCAGTAGGAGGTAAGCTGAAATAGTATGTAACACTCGGAGGAGTATCCTTGGCCACCGTGGGGTTGAATAGAGGGGAAAGTGGCGTTCTACTGGCCTAGTCTCTTTTCTGCTGATTGGAACGTGCATGTGATGGTAGAAACGAGAGCAACAGTCTTGGACGACCAGGAAAACTCCGTGTAGAGACTACAGGCGAAGAAGAAGGAAGACTGGGTCTTCGATGATCACTGTTTTCCATGTCAGCCATGATTGCCTATATTCTCATGAAAGATAAATTTCTCTGTTGTGAGTTTTCCATCTCCCACAGACAAACACAATTTAGCTATACAGCTCTGAAAACATATTAAATATTTACCTGACAAATTCTGTCTGTTGGTTTCACTTTCTCTGTTGCTAGAAGTAGAACCTGGCTCTGAAATACTGCTTTCTGTTCCTCCCATCAGAGGTCTCAAATGGCTCACAGATACTTGCTCAATAAAAGACGAGCCATGTTTATGGAAGTACCACCATTCAAATATCTATAACAAACAAACAAAAAAATCTTAACTTAAAATAGAACTGATCACCAGATATATGAGCTCAGATTAAAACATCTTTCAAGATGTTCCTATTTAATTCAGTATGCTAAATGCACTCTCCTCCCAAAAAATAAGCCAAAACACAAAATTCTCCGATAACATATACCAGGTAAAAGTAAATTACTTTTTTTATAGTTTTGTCATGAAATTTAGACAAACTTAGGCAAAACTAGAAGAAATACATCTATAAATGAAACATTAAAAAACAAGAAACAAGGATGCCTGGCTGGCTCAGTTGACAGAGCATGTGACTCTTGGTCTCTGAGCATGAGTTTAAGCCCATATTGACTGTAGAGATTACTTAAAAAACAAATACACACAAACAAGAAGTGTTTAATCTATAAATAATCTAACTCTGGTATGTTACATTGTCATTTTATTCTATCTGTAGCATAATTAAAAGAAAAACAATTTTGAAACAATTAGCAAGGTGGATTAAGCACTGGTTAGACAGCCCACATAGGATTCCCAGTCCACCTGTGTGCTTTGGGCAAGTCACTTAATCTCTAGTCCCTCAGAACCTCAATGTCCTATATATTAAATATTGTTAACAAGAATTTAAGATGCCTTTTGAACAATGAAGTACTACTCAGTATTTGGCAGTATAATTAATGTAGGTTGAGATTGATTCTCATATTGAACCATTTAAAAATCAGGATATTAACTTCTTTCTGTTTTTATGGTTTATCACTGGCATAAAAGAATAATCAAGGGGTGCCTCAGTCGGTTAAGCATCTGACTCTTGACCTCAGCTCAGGTCATGATCTCACAGTTTTAAGTTCGAGCCTGCGCTGGGCTCCGTGCTGACAGTGTGGAGCCTGCTTAGGATTCTCTGTCTCCCTCTTTCTCTGCCCCTCCCCCACTTGTGCTGTCTCTGTCTCTCTCAAAATAAATAAATAAACTTTAAAAAAAGAATAGTAATCAAAAGAAGCTCTCTGCGGGGCAGGGAGTGCCTGGCTAGCTTAGTCAGTAAAGAATGCAGGTCTCCCTCTCAGGGTTGTCAGTTCAAGCCTCACATTGGGCTAGAGATTACTTACAAAAAAAAAAAAAAAAAAAAAGCTCTCTGTGCTGAATTAGCAGAATGTTTCATATTTGGATGCTCTAGCATTCTCAACTACCTTTGCCTGGCTCATTTGGGTTCCAGCTTAAATGACAGGTCCTCAGGGAACTTTCCCTGATTCCACACACAAAAAAAGCAGTATTATATGCACCCCTACTGGATCTTGTGTTTTCCTTTCAGGTAATCTTTTCACTTGTAAGAATTCGCTAAACAACTGGCTTCATTGCTATTATTCAAGTTCCCAAACACATGACATCCTACCCCCTCACGTGGAAGTAACACAGCATAGCTAGCTTCCTTATTTCAGGGGGTAAGAGAAATTATAAGCATAATAACCTCTGCTAATAAAAACTCATCAACATTACAAAGGTAATGACATAGTTTAACTTTTAAAATGTTACTTGAATTTCCCATTTTTATACATATATTGTTATAACCACTCTATTTTATTATTAGTTACTGTTGTTAATCTCTTACTGCACCTAATTCATTTATTTAAATTTTTTTGTTTGAGTATAGTTGACACACAATGTCATGTTAGTTTCAGGTGTACAACTTAGTGATTTGACTTCTCTATACATTATGCTATGCTCACAAGTGTACATCACTTGCTATTATACATACAATGCTATTACGATATGGATTTCTTAATTTTTATAAATTTAAAACTCTGGCGTAAAAAGAATAACAATGAATTTTAAGAACTACTATATACATTATATATAAGTTATATGTTTCGTATTTATATAATATATATGTAAGCTTACCCCCCTCTTATACATGAGGAAATTAAGACTCCGAGAATTTATGTGACTTGCCCAAAGTTCTTAGTTAGTCAGTGGCAGAGCTGAGACTCAAAACTGCATCTTCTGGTTCCCAGACTAACGCTTTTTCCACTCATCAGTTGTTTAAAGACAATTCATTTCCTTTATTTAAATTTTTATATGCTATTGACTAAATATGTTAAAACATGCTTAATAATCGGTTGGCTTTATAATCAGTAAATTTTAACTAATTTACCTATATTAACACATAGTTTTCATACTAAATTCCTCAGTAATGTTTTTTAAGTCAAGAAAAAAATCTCTTTCTTGTCCAGCATTTCACTTAAACAAAATGGCCAAGTATCAGTCCCTATTAAAACAAAACAAAACAAAACAAAAAACACTCCATTACACATGCTATTATTTCTACTATAATAGAAGAGCACCATCTAGAGATGAGAAAAAAGCACAGAAAAATTCATTGGTTATGCATGCCATACTTTCTAAGATTTTTATCTGTAGCAGTGTTTTTCCAAAGTTTATACTAGGAAACACTAGTTCCCACAAATGTTTAATAGAAATTATACAGGTAGATTTTAATTTCTTTTTTTATTCTTTTTTTTTTTTTAATATTTTTATTTATTTCTAGGAGAGAGAGAGAGAGACAGCGTGAGCAGGGGAGGGTCAGAGAGAGAGGGAGACACAGACTCTGAAATAGGCTCCAGGCTCTGAGCTGACAGCACAGAGCCCGACACGGGGCTCGAACCCACGAATTGCGAGATCATGACCTAAGCGAAAGTCGGACGCTTAACCGACTAAGCCACCCAGGCGCCCCAGATTTTAATTTCTTAACTGAAAATGATAGCTCAGTCAGAAAAGACAAGGGAAAGCCGCATTAAAATTAAATAGGTTTCTTTATTATGACACTTCCAAATAATAATGGTCAAAATTCAGTAAGTGCTTACTCTTATCTAGTTACCAAGTTATTCAAAGCTTTTACACACCTTATCTTATTTAGTCTTCAGGATCCTACGAAGTTGATATTGTATTATTCTCAGTTTATAGATGAGGAAATTAAAGCTTAGAAAAGTTAATTAACTTGCTCAAAGTCACAGAACTAAAGACATGGTTATGAAAACTAACATAATATTGTATGTCAGCTATTTACTCCAATTTAAAAAAAATCTCCTGGGGCGCCTGGGTGGCTCAGTCGGTTAAGTGTCCAGCTCTTGATTTCAGCTCAGGTCATGATCTCATGGTTTGTGAGACTGAGCCTGCCATCAGGCTCCCCACTGAGTGTGGAACCTGCTTGGGATTCTCTCTCCCTCTCTCTCTGCCTTTCCCCTGCTCTCTCTCTCTCAAAATAAAATTTAAAAAGAAAATCTTCTCATAATTAAAAAAATAAATAAATAAAGTGATCGTGATTAGCCAAATGATTAGCTTGGCTCCAATGTTCTGCTCTTAAATACTACAGAGAAGATAACTGGCAACCTACAGGCTGAATTCAAGACACAAATTTTTAGTCTGCCCAACACTGACAAGATTAAAGTACTGGGAGACTTTTATTAAAAAAAATTTTTATTGCATCCAGATTCTTTTAAAAGCATATAAAAAACTGGAAGATCTCTTAATATTGGTCTGCAAATCTATATGGCAGCAACTAGATTTATCCCCTTCTAGAAGGGGCATGCATTGGCCAGATAACCCAGACCGAAAATAAATAGGAATTTAATTTTTACACTCTGCCCATTTCACTCATTTTGTTACTAAACTGGGCCCTGCAAAAATTTAGTTGGCAACCCACCTCTAACCCCTTCCCCTTACAGTATACAATAGTCTTTCATATACAAATGAATACTGCCAATCTCTAAAAGTGGAGAGGAAGAGGCAATGTTTTTTTCAAATGCTGAATATATGTTGAGAATCCTGATCTACAAGTATTGATAATTATTGTAACCATATAAAGAGATTTGATCTTTAGATAAATACCAAAACATGAAGGAAATGGAAACTACTTACAAATATTAGTCCTGATATCAAAGAAGATGTTCCTGTAAGTGCCACATAGAATTTGGGAGTCAATGAATTTAAAAACACTGTCACTGCCAAAAGGAAAACAAAATATCAAAGTTAAAAGAAATGTACATTCAAAGTGCTCAAGTTACAAATAGTCAGATGTCTTTATGAGTCGAGGAACATAAATAGTATTAATCTAGTATGAGATTCATTTCAAGAAGTTGTCATTTTTAAAAGCTACTTTAAATTCCCATCTTATCCTATCTTAAAAATCATTCTATTGGGTGCTTAGGTGGCTCAGTTGATGAAGCATCACTTTTGATTTAGGTTCAGGTCATGTCCCACAGTTCAGTTTCTGAGATGGAGCCCAGAGTCTGCAGTGCAGAGCCTGCTTGGGATTCTCTCTCTCTCTCTCTCTCTCTCTCTCTCTCTCTCCCCTCCCCCCCACCCCGCCTCTGCCCTTCTCCTGCTTGTGTGCATGCACACACACACATGCACACACACACACACACACTCTATCTTTCAAAATAAATAAACATTAAAAAATGCCCTGGAACGTGTAAGGGTAGCATTTTAAACTGATGATTTGTTTAAAAAGCAAATCAAAATGAGAATTTAATTTACTTTTGAGAATAAAATTAAGAACTTATAAATCATAACCTGGACAAGAAGTTTTACAAATCTTTAAGGATAAACTAAATACCCTGTTACAAATGAGGTTTAAAACCACTCCCTAATTATTTTGGTGAGATACAAACCAGTGTTTCAAATTAGAGGGAACGAAACAGTATGTATATGTATTTGGTATGTCAGCTAGAGAGGCAAAATAAACCGAAAAGAATAGCATCAAAAGAGCTCCTTGCACCTGACTCACTGAAAGACTGGACCAGATTCTTCACTTCAAATAACTGTCTCATAAATACTTCGGGTCTCAGAAATAAATAAAAATCTTTCATAGATAACTACTTTCATCCAAGTGATGTATCTGGTTAATATGCAAAAAAAAATTTTTTTTTCTATGCTGATAAAGTCAAAGTCAATTAGCTCTTTCAAACAGTCTAGGGGGCACCTGGGTAGCTCAGTCGGTTAAGCGCCCAGCTTCGACTCAGGTCGTGATCTCACAGTTTGTGGGTTCGAGCCCCGCTTGGGGCTCTGTGCTGACAGCTCAGAGCCTGGAGCCTGTTTTAGATTCTGTGTGTGTCTCTCTCTGCCCCTCCCCCGCTCATGCTGTCTCTCAAAAAATAAACGTTAAAAAATGTTTAAAAAACGTTTAGAAAGGCCAATTTATTTAGTTTTAGTATGTTAGTTATATCTGAACTTACATAGAACCTAAGTTCTGAAAAGTCCAAAGTATTTCAGAACTTTATCTCACGGTATTTCATGTCACCTTGTGAAATAGAAAAGGGGACATTTGTCTTGCTACAGAAAAATAAACCAAGGTACTGCAAGTCACACTCATTTGTGCTAGTCACACAGTATTTGCAGAATCCACGGGGATCATCACTCCTTACGTGCTCAGACTACATAGCAAACTGTCTACAAATGTTTAAAGAAAGAACTAAGGGAAGAACTCACTACTGTTTGTGGCTCCCCTTCCCTTTACTTCCTGGACTATTCTACTACTCAAGCCTAAAGCAAAGAACAGACAAAAATACCACGAGAACTATTTCTTGCCAGAACTATCTTAAAACATGATAATGGTTGGCTAAGATCATGGCATTCCCCCCCACCCCCTTTTAGGTCTTTTAATACAGAAACTCTCATCTTTGTTGTCTGGGTGTGGGAACGTTCCGCTAATCCGCCAGCGACTCAAAAGGAATGATTTTCAAGGGATCCTACCAATGGTGGGGATGTATATAAATTCTGCAATCGAATCTGGAGATGCTCTCATCTGTCCAACTACCTGAAGCTTACAGCTTGTCAGGTGGCTTTTCTTCCGTAAACGGGGACAGAAGAGAGAGGGCGGACCTTAAGAGCTCAAGGGAGGAGCCCATATCTGCAGCTCGGGTTTGACAATCAGCTGAGGAGTTGCGGCCCAAAAGAAAAAGAACCCACTAGGTCGCGCACCACGGACTCATCCTCCGAAGCCCTCCAGTGACTGCAGAGAATCTCTGTCCTTTGCCCCTTGCCCCCGACCCCTCTCCTGGCTCCCCCGCCCACCCCCAGGGAGATTTGGGCCTCTCACCCGCTGCCAAATTCTCACACAGCCTCAACGGGACCCTCAGGGCGTAAAGCAGTCCCAGCCCCGCCACGAACCACAGCGAGACCCCAGTCCCAGCCAGACCAGCCCGCAGCCGCTCCCTCCAGCCCAGCAACGGGCTCTGGCCGGGAGCAGGGGCGGGAGGAGATGCCGCAGCAGTCGCTGCTTCACCTAAACCGTCACCGTCCGCCATCTTGCTGCACCCGCAGGCTCCGAGAGCTGGGAGGGAAGAAGGGCAGGAAACCAGGAGTCGGGAATCCTGGGATAGTGGCGGACCTGAAGTTGGCCCCTGTAAAGGCTGAGTCCCAGGGAACGCGGAGCAAGAAAATTTGGAAGGTGGAGGAACATCCCAGGACTGGGGCTGCCTATTCCTTCGAAGGGCAGGAAGGGGTGGCTAGCTGCATCTGTTCTGGAGGAACTGGACTGAAATGTGACCTCGGAGTGAAATCTTTTTGCTTCCATACGCCCTGTTCTTGGGGTTGAAAAAGCCACCGACCGTTCCAGGGCCCGAGCAGCACTTAGCCCTTTGGACTCGGCTGCCACGGAGATCACTGGTACTGAGAAAACCTACGGTAGCAATTGCTATTTGGTCGGATGGAACTCGAGCGTCAGGAATAGTCGAAACACGCTCCCAGCGTCTCATAGATGAATGAGGAAATGAATGTAACTCCGTGAGAAAGCTATTAGAGTTAAAATCATTTCAGACAAAGCCTTCAGCAGAGCCGGAGACTTCTGGAGCACCGGCACTCGGAGCCCTCACCCCCGCCCGTAACTGACATGGCGCCCTCTCGGTCGGCGTTTCCGGGCGGGTCCTTCCGACGGCCCCCGCGGTGATTCCATCATTCGGCTTCCTTCCCGGCCTGCCTCGCGCCCGGACCGGGCTGGGCCAGAGCAGCCCAAGATGGCCGACTTCGAGGATCGGGTGTCGGATGAGGAGAAGGTAAGGGGTCCGCCTCTGTGTCTTGCCTCCTCCTTCGACAGGGAACAGGGGCCCGACCTGCCTGTGGTGGGGACCCCGGCAGTGTCCCCAGGAAAAAGAAGCTTCTTAGCCCGCGCTGGCAAACGCTCTGCAGTTGGGACGCTTCGCTCTTGAGGGGCTTTCCTCTGCCTCACGGTGGCCCCAGTTCCCCATTCCTCAACTCTCTTTTTATCTTGCGGGGCCCGAGACACAGCCCAGTGACCTTCCTTCAAGAGAAGAGATTTTGCTTTATTGAATCATGACAGTGGACTCTTTTCTGTAATTAAGAGAGGGGGCGATGGTGGTGTCTGGTCGTATGAAGCAGCAGTTATTTTACCGCCTTTAGCTGTTGGGGCTCTCCCCATCCCCCCATTTTTAGATATGATTGAGGCTAGTTTAGGGCGAGTCACTTCCTGGTCAGAGTGGCCTCTTAACTTCCCTTTTGCTCCTCCTTCCTCAGGAAGTGATTTTGCTGTCACGACTCTTCGACAGGGAGAGGTCCCCGTGTTGTCCGTCCCTCCACTTTTTTCCTCACTTAATATCGGCTGAACTAATTTTCAGTAATAAATGTGTAAGCCTCAGGACATTTGCTTCAGTATTTGAACACCACTCTTCCCCTGTAGAGAGTCGATTGATTGTGTGCATGTATATAAGCCCGCGATGACTCCATCCCTTGCGTCTTACCCTGTTAACGGTAATCTTTGAAGAATAGTTTTCTGTTTCTTAAATCAAGAATAGCCAGAGGATTTTTTTTTTAAAACTCTGTAAACGTTTTATATAGCACATAAACTTCATGTTAACACATTCAAGTCTGGACACAGCATCGTGCCTTCTTAGATGCTTCACTGTGTCGTCTTTGATTATAGTTAAATTTATCAGTGTGTTAAAAGCATATTTCTTAAAAAGTGTCTTAAGCATATTCTGCGTTAGGAAGAATAACTTTTTGTCGACGACTGCACACCTTTCTTAACACTTTGTGAGGCTTTCCAGTAAATACCTGATTTTAGGGCCTAGAGAAATTAGAATGATTTCGCTAGATGACTTGTTATAGGACAAGAATTATGTCTTTTGTTTCCCACATTGGGTGTTTCAAAACGTGCACTCTTGCATGCTCTGTAAATGTATCTGGGCTCTTTATTTTTTTAATAAAAGTGATTGGGATGACAGAGGAGTGACTGTTTATGATTCAGGTGTACTCCGTGCAGAATAATTTGGTATGTCATACCTACATATGGCGTGTCATTTTGAAATACTGAAGAATGTGCTAAACGCTCACAGGCCGTTGAATAGTAATACTTCAGCATTAAATTTTCCCATTCTTGAAAATTGTCATGTGTGAAACTTAGGGAAGAAAAGAGCATCTTAACATATGAATTTATGCAGAAGAGAAGTCAATAAAAAAATGTCTAGTCTAAGGTAAACAGCTGTGATTCAGATGAAATTATATTATAGTAAAAATCAGGAATAACGAAACATTAGTTAGCCCAGCTGATGGCCCACTTATTTTAAGGAAAAACATTGTTAAAACAAAATTTCACTAAAAATTTAAATAGTAAACTTCAAAGTTTATGGTGTCCAAACAATACTACATTTACCAGTATTATTGGGTTTTTGTCTTTGATGCTAGGTCTTAGGTTAGAATGCCCTTTTAATTAAACTTGGGAAAAATATACATGTATTTTAAAGTGCAAATTGAGAGATCTTTGGATGTTGACAATATTTAATAACATTAATAGTCTTAATTTTGTAACAGCAAATTGGTGAACAGTTTCCTCTCATCTCCCAGCATACTTCTTTTGTTGCTTAATTTTAATATGAAACAGCAAGCGTATCAAAATTAGTACTGTGAATCTGCGCCAAAATGCTGATGAATTTCATATTTGATAAACAGTTTTTAGATTAGTCACATTTCTTCATTATTGTGAACAGCTACGAATAGCTGATGTTAAGAAGTCTCAATATAATCCATATGATTTGAGATTACTGAAATTTTGTTAGATTCTTATTCCCAGACATAAACTCATCTGTATTTCTCTGTTATGAATCTCTAAGTAAAAAGAAAGGGCTTTGACTAGTAAGATTACTTCAGTTTTCCTTTAGCTTCATACGTACCTCGACCCATTTTTCTCCAGGCTTCTAATTCCCTTTAACTGAATTCAGGAATTGAAGTTTTTTTCCAACAAGACTTGTTGCTATGAATATTTTAGCATTCATCAACAGTAAGTAACCCTTAAGTGAGATTTTTGTCCTATAAAACTTTCACAACCGAGGCACTATTATAAATTTTTTTAATCAAGATATTTTCAGCCATAATTTGTATAGATTCTTCCTTGAAGGAACTCTAAAGTTTCCCTTTTCTCCCTCTTTTTAACTTAGATCTCAGCTGCGTTTGACTGGGATTTTTTTTTCAGGCGTATATGTCATGACGTGGAATATATTTTAATATTGCTTTTTATCTCTGTTTCCTAAAAACTGAACCCAGAGATGAATTTGATATTGATAGTCTCTGATTTCGTTGCAATTATTTTTATAAAAGCTAGTTAGATCAACCATTCTTATAAGCAACTGCTTAGGTTTTTATCACTTTACAAAGAGGAAGTTGGGTTTTTTAACTTCTGCGTTGTTACCTGAAATGGTCATGATGAACTGCCTAAATAAAACAGGAAGTTGAATGTGTAATAACTTGCAGAAATAAATGCTTTTAGTTTTATCCTCGAGTTCAGTTTCTGAGAATGAGCTGCATTTTTCTAGTCACTGACTTTTTAGTCCCTTGGTTCCAAATGCTTGACAGGACCAAAGTGACAAGATACCGTAATTAGGAAACTTGAAATATGAGAGCTACTTGTTCGGGTTCTTTGCACCGACTGCTTCCTTTATTTCATGATTCAGCATTTAAAAAAATAATTGCATAGAGAATTTTAAGGCTAAAAAAAGTGCAATTAGCCTATTTTTCCCTTCAGCTTAATAAGTGGAATATTTGTGAACAATCTTAAAAATGCCATAACAGAGAATGAATGCTTAAAGCTTAGAAAACGATGTCATCTTTAAGGCACTTTTTGAGAACAGGTTTATCAAAATTGTTGAGGAGTGATGTGGAAAATGGTAATATGATAGCCCTGTTAGAGCTCATGAAAAGTAATACCTTTTAAAAAAATTAATTAAGGGGTGCCTGGGTGGCTCAGTCGGTTGAGCGTCCGGCTTTGGCTCAGGTCATGATCTCACGGTTTGTGGGTTCGAGCCCCACGTCGGGCTCTGTGCTGACAGCTCAGAGCCTGGAGCCTGTCTTCGGATTCTGTATCTTCCTCTCTCTCTGACCCTCCCCTGCTCATACTGTCTCTTTCTCTCTCTCTCTCTCAAAAAAATAAAAAAATAAAAAAAATTTTTAAAAATTAATTAATTTTGAAGAAGGGGCTTTGCCAAGAGAGAATCCTAAGCAGGCTCCACACTATCAGCACAGAGCCCAATGCAGGGCTTGAACTCCTGAACTGTGAGATCATGACTTGAGCGGAAATCAGGAGTCCAATGCTCAACCGAGCTACCCAGCTGCCCCATGAAAAATATACTTCTAAACTGTATTTTTTAATTACGTGATACATCCTTAATTTACTAGATGAGTTATTACCCTTACAGGATAAACTCTAGGGCTTATTTGCTATAGGTATTTTCTAAAAGCCATTAATTAGTATTAATACTGCTCTTCTTTTATGCTCTCTTTGTTTTCAAAGCACTACTTAGCTTTGCTGAGTAGTATTTATAGAATCTGTCACAAAATCCTTGGACAGGAGCATAAAGCCTAAGCAGGTGCAAACTCAGATGTTCAGTCTTTGGTGTAGGTTTATAATTTCTTCCAGAACATCCAGCTGTTTTATTAGAACCAGCCTTAATGCCAAGCAAAGTTGTATAATTTGTCAAAAAATTCAGGCCCCGGGTTTGTCTGATTCAGAAGCTAGGCTTTTTTTCACCTTACTGTTTTTCCCATTTAACCACGAATGAAAAAACCAGACTAGAAATATCCATGTAATGAATTATAACTGAAATATTGTGATGTAGTGGGAAAGAATGATTCTGAGTGTTTGGAGATTTGGCCTCTCTTTGTTGAGCTTGTAGCCACTGATGTGATTCTAGAAACAGCACTTAACCTCTGTGGGCCTCAGTATTCTTGTAAAATAAATAAGGAGAAATGGATCAAGCTAGCCCCAAAAAGTTTAATGAACTTCTACAAACTTTAATAAAAAAATCTCTATTTTAAAAATTGAAACATTAGAATGTTTCAGGAGTTTCTGTCATTGTCTGCTTTTGCACATTTGCCCTGATAACGGAACTGTGAATTCTTTGGTAACTGAAAGCATATCTTTTTATCTAGTAGCTAGCATAGGACCAGGTACATAGTGTAGGCACAGCCTATTGATACGAAAGAGACCAATAACCACATCTTTCTTCATGTTCATATTTCCTCAGCTCAGGCTCCTTCATCCCACCCTCCAGTTATTAATGGTAATTTCTAGGTATTTCTTGAGTACAGGAACGTGTCCACACCCTGGGGCTTCTTTGGGCATTCATTGTGCCTGAGTATCTGCTGCCATTATTGGTGATCTGTCTTGCCACTGCTGGGAACATTAGATCCCTCTGGGACCGTTTTAATAATAAATCCCACAAAGCTACAAAGCCCCATGTTACCAAAATGACTATGAATATATACATCTAGCCTTGCAGATCATCTAATAGAAGTATTCCCTTCATCTGCTCTAAGTTCTCTTCTTTAGAGCTCAGAAAAACATACACTGTAAGGTTAGGTGTCATTTGTGCTTTTCTCCTTAGGTGCATGAATGTCTCTCATTTTCTTGCGTGCCAAAAAAAAAAAAAAGTTCTTACATGGATCAGCTCCTGAAAATAAAAATTCTGGGCGGGAGAAATCAGTCATGATCCTGAAGACAATGTAACTACTTGGGGATTTCTGAACTAGGTGATGATTTTAACATGCA